CCAAAAGAAGTCAGATTCAATATTTCAAATTAAAAGTTTTTTATTTTTTGGTAGTTTTCATGATTTTATTAAGCATCAAATGATTTCTAAACTATCCTTTACAGAACTGGTCTCTACATTTATGAATGGGCATCAAATGGACTCAATAATAATAATAATAATAATAATAATAATAATAATAATAATCAATTAAAACATCATAACTGATATCAGAAACACAAAAGTATACCAAATCAATTAAAATGACCACATAAAAAAGAAAGAAATTCAAATTAAACAAGTAAGTTTTAACTAATGATTTGAAAGAAGACAATGAAGAGGCCTGTCTAATATTTAAAGAGTCTGAATAAATGTTCAAATGAAGCACGCTCATCTCTGTGAGTCTACAACGGCTTGTTTTTATTTCCTGAGCAGCTTTTGAGTTTTTATGACTCAAACTTGAGTAAACGAGAGGAAAACGGGATGAATCCTGCTTTGACATGTTTACCACTGACACCGTGTTCTGCAGCAGCAAAACCTCCAGCGTAAGCAGCTGCACTCTTTGATGAAAGTCCTCGGTCCAGATGAGGGTCTTCCCTGAAAACTGGACTCACGTCCTGCAGGGAGCTTCATCTTTCTGAGGTGGAGGATGTCATCGAGACGGAAGGTCGAGTCAGGAAAGCAACTATCCTTTCCTTTCAGCTGACACAGGAAGTTTGAGTGTTTCTGTTCAACAACTCGGACCTGATTTGGAACCATACTAGCTTTTATTTTGTCTGTTAAGCTGAAAAATGTGACTTTTTTTTTTTTTTACCGTATTAGTTTTTAGATTTTCTTAGGCGATCTGAGGTCATCAGGAGTCATGCCGATCATCATTTTCATCCAGCTCAGAGTTAAAAATACTCTCTTACAAATAAACGTTTTATCATTTGTATAGAAAAACGTCATCTCTGATGAATAACGGCGTCGTTTTATGAGTTTCACGGTCTGCTGCGGGCTGACATCAAGTTTTGAACAAGGTTGGAGTTTTTCTGTTGACGTAAACTACTGACATTTGATTTTAGAAAAAAAAATAATTCATATTTTTTGTGTTGATGAATCAACACTTGTCGAGATATTCTGCGTTCACGCCATTGTTTTTATTTTTCCATCCGCTTTTCGGAGTCTCGCGCAGTTTCGGCTGTTCAAGTATGAAAACATTCAGCTCGTTCAGGAGATGGGTGCTGCGTGAGTGAGATGATGGTACAGAGTGTGATTAGAAGGTTGCCGGTTCAAATCCCCCAACTGACATCGAATGTGGATGGGAAAGATGAAGCACCCACACCTGCCTCCACCCTCATTTGTCCCTCTCTGGGCCCCTGAGCAAGGCCCTTAACCCCCACCCTCTGCTCCCCTGGGCACCCTATGGCAGCTCCCTGCTCCACACAGAGGGCTGTGGTAGCTCGGTGGTCTGTGGTTGCGTCAGGAAGGACATTCGGCGTTAAAACAAGTCTTAGTTAGTCCACTGTGGCGGCCCCTGAGGAAGGAAGCAGCCGAAAGAGGAAGAAGAGAGTATCAAAATATTCAGCTCGTTCATTCACTTTTCTAAATATTTAACTTTATTGTACATATTTCTGCCAAAAGTTACATTTTACTGTAACTAAATCGCACATTTACGTTAAGATTTATTCAGTTCGTTCAAAACCGCTGATCTGTTTTGCTAAAATTTTATTTTATTTTTTATTCTTTAGCTATAACAGATTCTTCAACTGCTCTTTAGCAATTCTCTAATTTTTGTTTATTTAGCTTTTTGTTATGTTAAGATATCCTTTTAGTACTTTAGCTACATCTTTGGCTGTTCCCATTTGTCATAGTTTTATTTTTCAGCAAGCCCTTTTTTTTTTTTTAGCTTTAAACCAGGCTTTTAGTACATTTAGCTTTTAGCTGTTGTTCTGCTTCTTTTATCTTTAATACCTCAGTTTCAGCTTTTTCAGCAAAGTATTTTAACCCTTAACATTCACAATTTATTTTTGCAATTAAAAAAAAGAAGCCTTTTCTTTAGTTTGTTGTTTTCCAAAGTTTGTTACAAGTTTAAGTTGTTTCTGTCAAGGTTGTAAGATAAGCCGACAAAAGTTATCAACGAACAAACGCTGAAATATGGTTAAAAAGTATCTTAGATTTCTTGTTTAGGTTTTTCTGGTCTCCGGCTGATGTTTGCTCATGAGTCACTAACCCACTTGGACATCCATCAGTCATCAGTAGAGACTCGCTGCTGCTTCCTGTTTTTATTTATCTAATAATAAACACATTTTCGTCTGGCTCCGTCCATGAAACTGGCGTAGACGCTAACGGGGTGAAGTTATTTTCATTACATGAAAATGTTTCTCTTACGGTGTTCTTGCAAAGTAAATTTAGATCAGTTTTATTTGTGAGGAGCCAAATGTCTGCATGGATCAGGTCGGGTCACTTTAAGTGGTCGAGATGTTTTTATATTTATATATATATATATATATATTAATAGAAACCATGCTCTTTCTCTGTGCTGCACTTTGAAACCAGAAGAACTTCCTCCAGCTGAACAAGACTCGGGAAGTGTGGACCACTGGGGCACGCAAAAGACAAAAGAATTTTAAAAATCAAACGATGTCATAATTTTCTGACCTTCAAGGAAACATCTGGAGTTGCTACAATCATCCTGTGGACGTCATGACTTTCATCGCAGTGATGCAGTTCAGCTTAAATGGATCCAACATGTTGCAAGAATTTGCAGAATTAATTAAAGGAAGGTTGCTGACATTACTGAAATAAAATCAGTGGTATTGTCCAATAGTTCATGGTATATTTTGCTAACAGGCAGAGTTAACACCAACAGTTAATGCCAATGTTTTAATAAAAAAGATCATACAATGTGAAGTACATAATGCTCAGCCACTACCACACCACATGTGAGCTAAAGCTAGCTAAGTTAGGTCTGTTTTTGTGGATAGTAACCCCTTAACATTTTTGTTTGTTTTTATTTTTTAATATTTTTTATTTTATTTCATATTTTGCTCAACCTCTGTTACCCAAATTATTTGAATACAGTAGGAGATGTGTATATTTCTGTATGATTGTTATAGAATTGTTGATGTGAAAAGGTCGTTTTTTTGTTAATGTTTTCAATATTCAATAATAAAATAAATAAATAAATAAATAAAAGGCCTGTCTTTGTGTTAGCTAAGGTGGCTAAGCTGCGGCAGCCATCTTTATTTGGGTTGACTTGTGTTGAAACTTCCATCCTAATTTAAATATTTAACTTTATTTACAATTTTTTTTTGCCAAAAATATGTTTAAAATCTTTAATCAAAATCATCATATTTCAGAATCTGCTTCAAAATACTTTGTTTTTTCTTCTTATACTCGTTTCAGCTTTTGGCTTGTTTGCTATTTGTATCTTTTGACTAGACTTTTGGTTTATTATTTTACCTTTTGGTACTTTTTAATCTTTAGCAAGTGTTTTGCTTCTTTTAGCGTTAAGTTTCAGCTTCTTCAGAAAATAAATTTAACCTTTAGCATTCACATTTTTATTTTTGTATGAATATTTTTGTAACTTTTTGTGACTTATCGAGCCTTAGCTGTGTATTTGTTTTTTTCTTCTCTTCTTTAGCTATCATTTAGTACTTTTTAGTTTTTAGCTAGCCTGTTGTTACTTTTAGCTTTAAGCAAGACCAGGGCTACTCAACTGTCGGCCCACGGGCCAAATTAGGCCCATGGATGAACTCAGTTCGGCCCACCAATGGGTTAATTTAAAATAAAACTAGATTTTAAAGCATAAAGCAAAATATCTTAATGATAATAACTGCTGGATGTCCGGCCTCTGAGCTCAAGGCTTTCAATAACTGTACCCGCGAGCAGTTTAGTTGAATTGCGCTGAGCTAAACTTTCAGTTTTTATTTAGAGTTTTGGTATCTTTTTAGCTTTTAGCGAGCATTTTTCTTCTTTTAACAAGCCTTGTTTTACTTTTAACCTTTAGTTTTTGCTACTTTTAGCTTTAACAATCAAGTTTAACCTTTTCCAGCAAAATATTTGAGCACATATCACATTCTTTTTGTTACTATAGTCTTAAGCTAGCTTTTTGCTACTTTTAGCTAGCATTCTAACACTTTTAGGTGCTAACTATTAGCTTGTGTTGCTGTTAACTAAAATTTAGTCGGTTTGAGTGTGTGTATATATATATATATATATATATATATATATATATATATATATATATATATATATAATGTAGCCTTTTGCTTCATAAATGTAGCAACAAGCTTTATCTAATGTGGCCATCTTGAATTGAGTTAACTTCAAAAGGTTAATGAGGTGAAGATCAACTTCAAGTTTACTTATTTGGGCGTTCTTTTAAAATTTGTCAATCTTTTCGTCATTTATTTATTTTGCTAACAGCCAGCCATAAGAACACACAGACATAGCCCACTGTGGCGGGCGATAACGTTTTCCTCTTGTGTTGCAGGCTGCTTTCCCGCCAGTACATGTCGCTGTTTCTCTTTGGCAGAGTCCAATGTTAAGTTAAAAACCCACTAAAAAGTCATAAAATCCCCCTGAAATAGTTCATGAAACGCTTCAAAGTCCCAGGTGAACTGTAAATCTAAAGTTATGTGTATAAGACTCCAGTAACGTGTTTTAATCCGCGCGCGCTCTTCGTTTTTCTCTCCGGATCAAAACCTCTTGGTTCCAATTATCTCAGGGGGCGGGACCGACTCCCTGTTCCTCACTTTTGATTGGTCGAGCCGCCGGTCACTCTCAGGCTCGTCCCGAATCCTCCTGTTGGAGAAAACAGTCCAACGCCAGAAGTCAGAAAGTCAATTTTCACCAACGAGGAGGGGGCTTCTCACAGAAGTGTCGACTTATTCGGGTTTCCTGCGCCTTCTTCCATCGATCCACAGCCGGAAAGTGTAAACGAGATAGTTCAACAGTTTATTAGGTTCAGGTTAAAGTTGTTTTGCCGCTACAAAGAGAGGTTAATTGGACTTGAGGACTTGTTGGCTCCTCTCTCCCCGCTTGTTTTGCTGCGCACCAGAATGCGCACCGCGGTGCCGCCAGCGCATCCCGGCCCCTGGAGCATCATGTTGGCAGCATGAACCGTGGACCGACCTGCTGTGGCCCGTCTCTCAGTGGAATGGCCCGAGTCCAGGTGTTCTCAGCAGCCGGGGGGAGCAGATGTGGCCGCGCCGAGGAGCCGGCCGGGATCTGACGGAGCGCAGAGAGGACGACTCTGAGATGCGAGAGACACCCGAACCATAGAGAGAGACAGTCTCCGGCTTCTTCGTCTACCTGGAGCCATGGCCTCTGAAGTGGTGTGCGGGCTGATCTTCAGGCTCCTGCTGCCCATCTGTCTCGCGGCTGGTGGGTTTTTGTCCTTTCTTCACATCTTTTACGCATCAGAATTCACCCAAAAAGGTGTAAACATGTGCCAGGAGGGGATGAAGAAGGCAAGATGAGAAACTCTTAAAACAATCCTGCTTTTTTAAATGTATTTATTTTGAAGCCCTTTTGGATTTTGTTCAATAATTTCTCTTTGGTCATTTAGGCCAGTGACTCAACTGGTGGCTCTCGACCCAAAAGCGGACCGCAGACCCATTTTCTGTGGGTCTTAGAAGAAAATGAGCATTCTCATTATGTCAGTGTTACGGTTAAAGGAGTCCAGTCAACTTTGAAGTGATGTTCAGTTAAATAGTTTTTAATAGTCACCAGCTGTGTATTGTCAGTCAGAGCAGGGAGTACAGAGAAAGAGGCAAAAGTCTTCATCCAGGCTAGGCTAATATAATGAAGTATACCACCAACCAGTCATTTATTTTAGGCTTATAAAGCAACCCTTCCTCAAGAATGTCATCCTGGTATTAAATAATGCTACATGAGCTAATGGTAAACCTCCAACACTGCTGTCGTTTAGCTTTTTGCAGCATCGTGTTACGATACCAATGTGCATATTAGACGATGGATATGGTGCTGGAGCTCAGGCTGATGAATGTACCGGTTCATCACTGATCATGTGGGCTGATGCATTCATCATCCTCTGCCCCATCGTCATCAATCAATCAACTTTATTTATACCCTTAGGTAGATTTGGTTACAGTGAGGTGAGTCAGCTTTCTTGCCAGACAGGAAACTTGACATGTCCACAAACTGTCTGTAAAGTAACACGGATGCTCTCTGAGAAAATAGCAACAAACTAAATGGACTGTTTCATGTAACAGGTTTAATATGAACTTATCTGGTGTTCTCTCACGGCGTTTTTGAGAAAGCGTTGTTTTATAAACTTGAAAAATGATAAAAAAAAAAATCAGGCTCTTATTTGGCTAACTATTTTCCTCGCCTGGATGAAAACTTTTGCCTCTTTCTCCCCTGCACTCCGACCGACGTCACGGCTGGTAACAGACAGGACATGAACTCAAAGTTGGCTGGACTTTTCCTTTAATGCTTGGAAAAATGACTAATAATCTTAATAAGACATTTAATGAGCTGATGCGCTGCTAAAACTGCAGATTTTGAGTTTTTGAAACTATTTCTCAGTGTTTAGACATCTTAAATTTGATGTTTGTGCGTGACGTTACCTTTGAGTTTTTTTATAGGAGGCTGAAATTACTGAAATGACACGTTTGTTTTAAAGAAAATGTAGGTAATTTAGCATAAAAGGGAGTATTTCTGTTTTTAGTATCACTGCTTGTTGGCAGTTTTTTTTGAGTTTATCTTCCTGCTGTGGGTTAAAATGTCCCATGAGGCCTCAGTTTCAAAACTCATAGCTGATGGTTATTTTGACCAAAGGGCATCAGGTGGTTGTAACTTATTTGTCTAACGAGGTTCAGTCAGGTCCTCTGGAAGGTTGCTTTTTTGTTGAAACGTTTCGTCTTTTATCCAAAATGCTTCTTCAGTCTGAGGAGCTGCAACAAACTCAGTCTTATAAATAGCACCTTCTCATAGTGGATCAACCAGTCTGCTGGTGACATCCAAAACTAGCTGTTCATACACCAAAGGAGGACCATCAGCCTAACAACTGATCTTTAGTGCCCTGATGGCCGCTTGCTATTCACAGCAGACTGAGTGATACTAGCAATAACGACATTGTAAGAGGAAGGGGATATCAATGTGACATCTCCTAGATAGGTGCAGTGTAGATATCCTAACTGGGCCTTCCAGGACTCCAGCCATCAGGTGAAAAGGAGGAACCCAGACCAGTGGTCATTCCATATGTCGCAGGAGTTTCAGAGAAACCGAGACGTTTGTTTTCTTAACTTGTTTAAATAGTTTGGCTTTCAAATAACCTAAATCCATTACAGCAAAGACTAGTCCATCCCAAAGATCCAGTCCCCTGGCACAAACAGAGTAATACTGTGTATGCTGTACACAGTAGAGTACACAATAGAGTACACAATAGAGTACCTTCCTCTCTTTGATAGAGAGGAACATCTTTGTGAAGAGAACTCGTCCATCATTAAACGGGGCGGAGGCCTCTGTGTTCAACTGTCCCCCTCCTACAATGCTGTTATTGCTAGTATCACTCAGCCCTCTGTGAATAGCAAGTGGCCATCAGGGCACTAACGACTGGTCATTATACTGATGGTCCATCCTTTTGCATGTGAACAACTAGTTTTGGCTGTCAGCAGCAGACTGGTTGATCCACTATGAGAAGGTGCTTTTTCCAAGACTGAGTTTGTTGCAGCTTCTCAGACTGAAGAAGTCTTTTGGATAAAAGATGAAACGTTTCAAGAACAAAGAATCCGTCCAGAGGACCGGACTTAACTTTGTTCGATTTATCCACCTGGATTATTGAGCATGCATCAGGACATTCATTTGTTTGTGTTACTGACATAATTTATTCTACGAGCTCTGTTTCAAACGGCTCTGCTCATTCAGTTAGAGAAGTTACAGTTTTCTCTTGACTTGGGTCTAGGCAGATCGTTAAGTGTTTATGGTGGGTCCTGAAAGCCGGACCACTGATCTAAACCAGGTGTGGTCATCGAGGCTGTTGGATTGACCAAAAAATATTACACACAACCAGCATGCGTCCATCTGCAGAGGCAGTCAGTGCAACAGACGTCACAGAAACAGGCTTGTTTTTGTGACGGTGTGTTTAGTTTCACTTTGAGAGAGGCAGAAAACTTAATTACGGCTCTGAGAAGTGACTAAATCGCACCGAACCCACACATTGCCGGTGTAATTTTTGTAATTTGTCTGTTTTGTCCGCTGGCTTCTCATGAACCGTCACGCTGACAGCGTTTCTGTTATTAATCAGCGTTTACAGAGCATCCACAGTGTTCTCACTGCTGTTTCACATGCCCCTAAATTACTGCGTGGGAGTTTGTTTACCCATTTATCTAACTTTATTAGGAAAAGTGCTCCTTGGAGGCAGAGTTTTCGGTGTTATTGACGACTTCAGCCTGATTCACTCTTTGGGTATGCACATGTTGCAAATGCTGGCGAACGTTTTGATACAGTTATTTCAGCTCAAACTGATTTAAAGCGTTGCATCTTTGACTCTTCAGTTTAACAGCAGTTTACTTACTGCTGTAATCCTGTGGTAGGCCGCAAGTGATAAACGATTAGCGCCAAACTACCAGTGAGGTTCCAGTGTGGTGTCTGCGCACAAAACCGAGGTACTTTTAAAGCTAACAGCATGCTTTCCATAGATAAGACCCACTCAGTTCCACCATAATGCATCGGCTGACAGGCCGACGTGCCCTTTATTTCCAAAAGCAATTGCGAGCCCATGCGTTGTCTCCATTAATTCGTGGAAAGTCGTTTTAACAGTATGAATTAATAATGCGGTTGCGAGGGAGAGAAGCATTGCTTTCCCTTTTATCGTAAACATACCTTTAATATTTTATGTTTTTTCAAAGTGCCAATGAGCACTTGTCATGCTCTGCCGCTGTACACGATAACTGACAGGCCCACGGAAATGTCAAGTAGAAAAATAAAAAACGGAAAGCGTTTAAAACCATCAAGGAGAGTTATTTTTGCCGGTATCACTGAAAGTTTTAAGTCGAGCGTGCCAATCCAAAAGCATTAAATTATTTATTTTCTGTTGGTTTAGTTTGACTTAGTTTTTGTCTCGTGATTCCTTTTGTAGCTTTAAGAAAATAAATAAATTAAACGTGCAGCCTCATTAGGAACAGTAGGACCTTTGGTGGTTGTACATTTGAGAGCATAAGCAAAATTAGTGGAAAACAGAAACATCTTTCCATATAGATAATAGGACTTGGATGAAATAGGTGAGAAACCCCAGCCTCATAGCTTCATCTTTCATAATAGCGGCGCCATTTAAATTTTAGACACGTCACTAAAAGTTGGACTTTATGCGTCTGAACTGGCATTTGGATATCCGTAAGAGTTTTTAAACAATTCAATTCAGTTTATTTATATAGCGCCAAATCACAACAAAGTTGTCTCAGGGCACTTTACAGGAACATTCACATACATAAAAGCCAACTAGTAAAGTTCTCTATCTAAGGAATCCAGCAGACAAGTTGAATCGTGGCTTCGTCAATCAGTTTAAGTTTTAGGATTTTTAGAGGTTATGTTCCACTTTGAGTCAGACACTGAGCAACTTTTGAGCTGTCTAACGTTAACTGATATTTTACTAACAAATTCAGCTGACCTCTTAACAGATTATACATCAAAATGCAGGTCTTATTGACTTCTTTCACCCAACGTGTATTTATTTTATGTAGGACGTGTGGTTTTCGTTCAAATCCCTCCACACTGCACAAGGCGCACACTCAATCCCCAAATGGCCCTCATTACATTTCAGCTGTCACTTTTTTCCTCCAAAACGGAAGTAAAAAAACATTTTAGCTCATCATATGCTCTAAATAAAACACCGTACAAACATGAAAACCCACATATACATGTACGACCGCCGAGCCTTCTGCTGCTCACGGTTCAAGAATTTTAAAGATCTGACATCGTTTTTCCTCCAAGTTTTTGTTTGACACTTAAATGTTAGAGATTTTCCGACGTTTATTGTGAAAAAGTTTCACGTTTACACGGTAATGCTCTGCTCGTTGAAGCCGTTGTAGTTTCCATGCCAGGTCACTAGGTGGCGATGTGATTTTTGTATTTCAATGACATGCTCATGGGCGCAGACACTTCAGCATTGAGCATGAAAACGGTTGCATCCAAAATGGTGAATATGTGAACTTTCATTTGGACCGAGGATGAGGTTGTGTTGCTCCTACATGTTGAAAATGGTGAGCAGCACAAACAGCACTCTGCTATCCGCTAATGTTGTTCATCTCCTCGCGCAAGCGCAGAAACACTATTGACTGAACATAACTGTAGTGTGCATTTGTGACATCACATTTTCTGCAGTTTCCCTTGAAGCGATGCCAGACGACCCCAAAAACATC